CAACGACACACTAGGGCGGGGCGCCCTGATGACCCTGACACTGTGACACACTACGGCAGGGCGCCCTGAGTGACCCTGACACTGTGACACACTACGGCAGGGCGCCATGAGTGACGCTGACACTGTGACACGCTACGGCAGGGCGCCCTGAGTGACCCTGACACTGACACGCTACGGCAGTGCGCCGTGAGTGACCCTGACACTGTGACACACTACGGCAGGGCACCCTGAGTGACCCTGACACTGTGGCACACTACGGCAGGGCGCCCTGAGTGACCCTGACACTGTGACACACTACGGCAGGGCGCCCTGAGTGACCCTGACACTGTGACACACTACGGCAGGGCGCCCTGAGTGACCCTGACACTGTGTGACACACTACGGCAGGGCGCCCTGAGTGACCCTGACACTGTGACACGCTACGGCAGGGCGCCCTGAGTGACCCTGACACTGTGACACGCTACGGCAGGGCGCCCTGAGTGACCCTGACACTGTGACACACTACGGCAGGGCGCCCTGAGTGACCCTGACACTGTGACAACTACGGCAGGGCGCCCTGAGTGACCCTGACACTGTGACACGCTACGCGGGCGCCCGAGTGACCCTGACACCGTGAAAAAGCTACGGCAGGGCCCCCGGGTGACCCTGACACTGACACGCACGGCAGTCCCCCCCTGAGTGACCCTGACAGTTCGCAAACGGCAGGGCGCCCTGATGACCCAACTTGTGTGACACACTCGCAGGGCGCCTGAGTACCCCGACACTGTGACACGCACTGCCCAGGGCGCCCTGATAAACCCTGACACTGTGACACGCTACGCTTTGGGCGCCCTGATTACCCGACACTGTGACACGCTACGGCGGGGCCCCTAGTGCCCCCACCTGTGACACGTACGGCAGGCGCCCTGAGTACCCGACACTGTGACCCCCCTACGCGGGGCCCCCCTAGTGCCCTGGCACTGCCGCTACGGCAGGGCGCCCTGAGTGACCCTGACACTGTGACACGCTACGGCAGGGGCCCCTGAGTGACCCTGACACTGACACCTAGGGCCCGGGGCGCCCGATGACCCTGAAACTGTGACCGCTAGGGAAAGGGCGCCCTGAGTGCCCCTGCACGTACACGCACGGCAGGGGCCCTGAGGACCCCGACACTGTGTGACACACTAGGGCAGGGGCCCTGGTACCCTGACACTGTGAACCTACGCAGGGCCCCCTGAGTGACCCTGAACTGTGACACCATATCAGGGCCCCCCCGATGACCCCTGAAAATGACACGCTACTCAGGGGCCCTGATGACCCTGCACTGACACGCTAGGCGGGGCGCCCTGAGGGCCCCTGACACTGAACCACGGCAGTGCCCCCCCTGATGACCCGAAACTGGGACACGCTACGGCAGGGCCCCTGAGTGACCCTGACACTTTGAAAACACTAGGGCCCCAGGCGCCCTGAGGACCCCGACACTGTGACACGCTACTGCAGGGCGCCCTGAGTGACCCGACACTGTGACCGCAAACGGCAGGGCCCTGATGACCCTGACACTGTGACACGTACTGCGGGGGGCCCCCCCTGTGACCCTGGACTGACAGCTAGGGCAGGGCCCCCCGAGGCCCCGACACTGTACACCTGGGCAGGGCGCCCTGATTGACCCTGCACTGTGACACGCTAGGGCAGGGCGCCCTGAGTGACCCGACACGTGAACGCTACGGCAGGGCGCCCTATGACCCGCACTGTGACACGCTACGGCAGGGCGCCCTGAGGACCCGAAAAAGTTACACCAGGGCACCCCTATACCCTAACCCTTTACCCCCTACCCCCCTAACCCCTACATTAACCCCCCTTCCCCCTAAAACCTTAAAACCCTTTTTCCCCCCCTTTCCCTACATTTACACCAAAAGGGGGCCCCCCCCCGTGTGCAACCAGGGCGGGCGCCCTGAGTGACCGAACACGTTGACACACTACGCGGGCCCCCTGGGGACCCTGACACTGTGACACCAAAACTCAGGGCCCCCCTGAGTTCCCCCGACACTTGTGACACACAGGGCGGGGGGGCCCTAGTGACCCGACATGTGACACATACGGCAGGGCGCCCTGGTGCCCCTGAACTGGCAGTAACTGCGGGGCGCCCTGAGTGCCCCCCGACACTGTGACACCTACGGCAGGCGCCCCTGAGTGCCCCCGACACTGGAAACCCCTAGCAGGGCGCCCTGAGTGCCCTACCGTGACACACTAGGAGGGCGCCCTGGTGACCTACACTGGACACGCACGGCGGGGCGCCCTGAGTGACCCGACACTGTGACACACTACGGCGGGCGCCCTGAGTGACCCTGACACTGTGACACCTACGGCGGGGCCCCTAGTGACCCGACCTGTGACACACAAGGCAGGGCCCCTGAGTGACCCTGACACTGTGACACCTACGGCAGGGCGCCCTGAGTGACCCTGAAAACTGACACACTCGGCAGGGCGCCCTGATGACCCGACACTGTTGACACACTACGGCAGGGCGCCCTGAGTGACCCTACACTGTGACACACTCGCGGG